GCCAACAGCAGCTTAGCCCGACTTAAATTTCATGTGCATACAGCTGTGCCTCCTGCAAAGAAAGGTGCTATTGGTCAACTGTGCATAAAATTCAACCTCAGTACTAAATGTAAAAATGAATCAATGAATTTAAGACATGGTTGTTTATGTTAGTTACGTACATATGTACATGTACCGTACATGAAAAGACAAGTCTGCATTCACAATGTGTATCAATGAAGAATGTACTAGAAATACAGAAAACTCTGGCGAAGTCGGCACTCTTGGGACTCAAGAAATTATGACGACTTAAGCAAACGCTGACTTGTGCTGTAAGTCGTCATTTTGGCAACTTACATGTACACACTAAATTGAAAGGATTTGATTTACCCTGGTTTATTCTTACCTACATGTACATGGTCGATCCCAGCAAATTCATTCTCCATTATTATCCTCATGGGCTGCAATTCGACAATTGATCATGTGCCCCTAAGGATGAAGCAAGGACGGCAAGCCACATGCATATCACATCACGACTCGACAGTGTAGTGCGTGCACATACATGATACAGTTACGGCCGGTTCATACTCACTGCATATTCAGTGTACGCAGCACGAAGGTCTATTTGAGGCATCTACAGTGTGTAAACAAAAGTGTAGTCCGTAATGAAAATGCGTGGCCTTGCACGCAGTTTGTGAAAATAACGGAAAGTGTGTATCACAAAATGTATGTGTATTCGGATAAATTGACATTTTTTAACTTTTATCGGATACATAGATGCAGCTGAGACTTGAGAAAACATGAAAGTATGAACATCAAAAAGCATCACAGACGACTGGGACTTTTGTCAAAAGCCGGCTTTGACGATATGACAAATTATGTGATTTCAAGATGCATATTTTTTTGCGTTGGGGAGACGTGATTTATACAACGGGTTTGCCCTTACCCAATGTATATATTGATAAATGCTGTGTGCTCAGTGCTTGTCCGAGAGCTTGCAAAAATAAAAAGCCTAAAATTGGATGGGACTCAAGCCCACGACCTCCTGCTTACCAGTGCAGACGTCTCAACCACTCGACCACCGGGCTTGCCGGGGTCGGCTGGCCGGTCCGAGTCAGGTGAAGCAATTGGAACCGTGAACTATTTCCAAGATGTATTTTTGCGTTGGGGAGATGTTAATTTATATAACGAGTTTAGCCCTTATTCAACGTACATATTGATAAACACGGTATGCTCAGTGCTTGTCCGAGAGCTTGCGAAAAAATTTAAAAGCTTATTCAGTTGGGACTCGAACCCACGTCCTCCTGCTTACTACATGTAGGTAAGTGCAGACGTCTTAACCACTCGACCACTAAGCTTGCCGGGGTCGGCTGGCCGCTCCTCATCAGGTGAAGCAGTGGGTACTGCGAACTATTTTCAAGATGTATTTTTGCGTTGGGAAGACGTAAATTTATATAATACATACTTTGTATTAGACCTGTATGGTTCAGTTACATGTAACTTCATTTTTATTCAATGTTTAGCTATTTTTTATCCGTATTTTTAGGCCTTTTTGGTTTCGTGCTAATACGAATTTGCATAAATTCACAAGCAAAACAGTGATGTAAGCTGAGACACTGAACCTCAATGTTGAATTGATCTGTGCACAAAAAATGGCTAGAATTTTTCCAGAAAGTGATCTTTAAAATTTGAACACTGAAACATGAAAACTAAAAATGTCTTCCTGGATTTACATGTACATCGTACTAATAGCGCTCTCGCTTGTCTGGAAAAAATTCTGGTCAATTTTAAAGGCTTATAACAGTGCACTTTACAATTCACTTGGCTCCAAAAAGATTCCCAATAGTTTCCATACATCAATGAATTTAAAAATGTTCAATAGGAAAAATTCACTGCATTATTCTTTTAGAATCCTTCCAATTCATGTACTACTGTATAGAGTGACGTATACGTGTACATTTGTAGGTTTACCTGGTTATGTTTCGTTTGTTGGCTCGTGTGATCTTTTATGTACAGTGTAAGTTAACATTCTCATACACGTAACAACAGCATGTGCGCTTTCCTATTGTGATGGGAAGAGCCCCATAGGAAATCAAAGTGCCAATGTAAAGAAAACGTGACATCATTATGTTACAGGTCTATTGTTGATACATGCATGTTACATGTAAATTGTTAATGTTTGGCTCATGCATGTACTTTGTAGTAATGTGTCCACAGACTTGACACAATGGCACCTTTGTGTTTTGGTTCAACTTGTTGTGTCAAAGTGCACACACAGGCCTTGGGACATTTGACAAATGATACATTATGATTGTCTCATCATTTCAAACAGTCAAATGTTCAATTCATGTTTTTTGTATTACAATCAAATGTTTCACTGACATCATCAGGGTCTCTGCAAAACGCAGACCGTTCCCGCATCAGCATATGGAACGTGGACCGTTCTTTGTGTTACAGTGGGAACTGTCCAACAGAATGTGAATGTTGCAGACTTTTGAGATGCTCCCTCAATGCTTTGTGGGCTGAAGTTTTAATCCGCGTCCATAAATGAAGCCTTACGAAGTACAATGTATTGGTAAGCATGCATGGCTTGTCATCAAAACATATTGAACTAATTTTTCAATAGGTTATGGAAAATGCTTTTGCAAGAAAGAGAGTCACTAAAAGTGCTCCCATTAACATGTACATGTACATGTAAAGTGGAACTCTGTATCATTCAAATTTGTCTTAAAGAGTCCACACGATGTCTTTTTTTTTAACACAACACTTTAATAATGCATCTTTATGTTTCAATTAAAACCTGATTTTCAATTTTCACAAATGTTGGTATTTTAAAAGGTATACATGTACAAGTAGCGGTAGTGTGGTGCCTTTTGCGGCTTTGTGGTGAATTTCCATATATTCAGGAAACTGTGATGTCTTCATAGGAAAAGGGAAAAAATTTATCAGTGCAACAAACTTGGAATTGTTTACTTCACTGAAGCTTCGATTTTCTTTTTCTTTGGTGATTCATTGTCATGTAAATTTCAAGCCAGTGAGCAACCCCTTCTTACAAATGTTTTAATGAGCAAATTTCTAGTTCAGAGTCTGAACAGAAAAACCGTTTTAAAGATCAGTGCCTTCCACTTGATGACATCACTGCAACAGCCCCCTCTGTCTGAAAGCAATTTTAAAGACGTGTATTTGACATACAGGTACCAGTATTTAAATACTGCATACATTTTGGGATAACTTAGATACATTGTACATCACACTTGACCCCCCCCCCCAAGAATGCCAAACAAATACAGCTGCACACAACAAAAACAGTTTTAAAAACTCCTCACCTTGACCCTTTTACAATTGGTATTTCCAATGATGATTCCTGCTTGCGATATCAAAAATTTTGTCCCAACTGAACTCGTACTTGGGTTGAAGCCCAAGAAAAAGGTCTCCGAATTTTTTCCAGTACATGTAACCCCAAGTTTTCTTAAATTACACAATCATCACAAAGACTAGTAATGTACATATTCTGGTCGGTATTCTCCATCCAGGTAACCAATGGCAGGATAGACAAACCAATGGACATACTTCATTTTACCGCATCTATGGTCAAATGCATTATGCATGGCTTTCTGTGACACATGGTCTTGCCTATCGCTAGCATAGGAAATTTCCCTGTCAGGTTTTGCTACATTATATATCGTCCCGTAAGCATCTTGCCAACATGTTCGCGGGGCTTTGTGTGATTGGGCGTTCCTAGGTTCATTTATTCCTGTTGCTAGGTAGTGGACCAATGGGAGCAGGCCAAATTAGGCATCTTGGGGAGAAGGTGCGAGCGATAAGATCAAGTGCCACTTTTGTTGCAGCTATCAAACGAGCAACTTCATTCACCCACCTCCTCCCTGCCCCCCCCAGGTCTTTAGGGCACATTTTCAGGGGATTTAGGACTTACTACCACCATAAGTTCAATTTATAAGCCCTTCTAGATTGTGAAACGTTGGTGTAAGCACAGCTGGCACCCAACTGTTCCAGTGGGGCTTATCCAACCACAAGTTCCGGGGGGTGGAGACACTGTGCATTTTATAATATTGTTAAACTGTTCTGTAAGCACAGGTTGCATCCACATTTTCTAGTGCGACTTATCTGTCCATCCGCAAGTACCAGCGGGGTACCAAAATAGGTGTACTTTCAGTAATACATATATATATGTAGTTAATAGCTTTGGTCTTTTGGAACTAACTATGGAACATTTAGTTGGCAGTTTCATTTCTGCTTTAAGTTGAGGGGGTATAATACTTAGCAACAGGTGTGTCCTTGGGGTTTAAGGTTTTGATGACCTTTACTCCTGTAGCAAGCATGCTGGGGGTATTGGTACATGTACATATTGTGATACTTTCATCCCTTTGGGTAAGCGTGCCCAACATGCCCAAGGTTTGTTAGTAGCACCTGTAGCAAGCGTGCTGGGTGCCTCTTTGATGTTCATATAAGAGATACATGTATTTTGGGCAGGATGCAGCCTTTTCTGTTTGACGGGGAAACATCTGTAATTCTAGTTGATCACTTGTGACATGTTTAGAGGTTGAATAAAAGCAGTCATGAAAGCTGCAACAGACAGTTAAAGTTAGCCTACGGTTGTTTCATTGAGATTGTCCACGTATAAATGTACCGTAGCATGCACAAAAATTGGGGACTTGCCACCTATTGGGAGTCAACTGTATCACCAGGATGTCACAGAAGGATGATTGTCCACAGTATTCAGGTCTTATGCCTTAATTGCCAGTTTACTGTACTGGCTCCGAACCTTCTAGTGCCAGGTGAGGCTGGACTAACATGGCCTCACGGGCAATCCTGGCTCTGCCATCTCACTGCTGTTGCCTTAGGGAGGCATGTCTTTCCACCATGATTTAATATTCCAAATTTGGTCTTTGATAACCCCCATCCAATTTTTCTGTACAGCAATGTGGTTGGTAATTTTAAGCCTCTCTACTACCATCCCCTTGAAAAAGTGAAAAAAAAATGTAAACAATATTTGTACTCACTCTTTAGCATAATTACCGCACTGAGAGCATTGACCTGTTGAAACAAGTGAAAAAGAAATTTCAATTACTACTGTGATTACTTCCTTTCTACTACATGTACATGTGCATTTAGCTACCCTCACACAAGTCTTTATGACTTTTGCCAATTCTGTGAATTGGAGTCGCAGCACTTTGCAAATAAGTTGAAAAATGGTTCATCAAACATTCTGCTAGTTTGCAAGGGAGCACGAATTACTTGCCAGATTGTCCCAAAATGTTTCAAAGCCTTTGCAAGTGTTACAAGATGGGCGCAAAACCATCTCATAAATGTTGTCAGCTTTTGCCAACAGTAAAAAAAACAAAGCTTAAACCCTGGAAGACCATGGGCTAGTCAGGGAAGACAACGGCATGGAGCTGGGGCTGGTCCTGAGGGTCCATCCGGTAATCTTGCATGTCTACGCTCTCTAGAGGAGGGATGTTGACTGATGCACACCATAGTTTTGTTAGGGGCTTGTACTACATGTAGCTGTTTGGTGGCTGTGAAATGTGATTCTCGTTGCTCATCAGTTGCAATATGTTTGCGCAATGGTCTCCAAAATTGCACTTGCATTCCCTTAACTTGAAATTGCTGAGAGTGCCAAAACTGTTTCCAAACCATCACACAAATGTCATGAGAAGGTCGGATGAATGTCATGCGACTTTTGCCACATTTGCACCACAAAATTGTACACAAACTGACCAACATTGCCGCAAATTTCATGCAACCGTTGCAAGACATTCACGTTACAAAACAGTTGCAGAAAACATGTACCAGTCGCGGCTTATCTCCGGTGCCAAGCTCGTTAAAGTCACCAACTCTTGTGTGAGGCTACCTTACATGTAACTGCATAATGTTGCCTGAGCTGAAGTGCACCCTCAACTGGTACTAAGTTTTCCAACCTGGTTCTTGCACGCGTTCGGGGTGCACATGAAGACCATACATTCCAGACTAAATTTGTTGCGCATACTCAGTTTGCTCTGCATCAAATACGCATTTGTGCACCTATGTGATGAGTTAGAACCAAAGGACTGTCAGTTTCATTTCAAAACATGCCCTCTTTTGTTCCTGCTCAGAGTGGATAGACCGTATTCGCATGGTACACAATTTCAGTCGTAAAAAAAAAATAAAAATTTTAAAACCTTAATTATAAGGTACCAGGTGATTTTGAGGGTTGGAATGAAATTGTAGAATAGAGTTTGTTTCTATAAATTTCACATTTTCATACGTCAGGGAAACTGAAACTGAAATTGGATTCCCCGTGAATACTGTCTATTGCTCTTCTGCTGGCCTCTGTCTTGCAGGCAAATGCTGGAGTGAGGATGAGAGGAGCATCATGCTACATACACCTACGGTATGCTACATGTAGGCCCATAGACCAGCTGCGCAACACATCCTGAAAAAATCTTGGAGCCTACTTCATACCACAGCACATTGTTTGGCTTACACTACACAGTACTACAAAATACTAAGTAACAGTTTGAGCCTGAAGGACCTATCGCTACGGATTACTACTTCTGGCTAGCACATACGTGTTTGCGTTGTTAAACCCTCATTTTTTTAGTTTTCTCTACATGTACATGTACAGTGCAGGTTTGTGCACCCAACATGGATGCATCCAGTAGGCATCACTTCGTACACAAGTCAGCGCTCTACTCTATATGGTTACTGCTTATCTGTGCTTATGGGCACTAATACGGCAAGAAGATCACTAGCACAACATTCAGCTGGTGTTAATATTTATTATCATGGAGGACTTTGAGATTGTAAGGTAACAACTCTTTCTGAGGTCGGCAGTGGTGTATTAATCTGAGAAATGTTACTCAACTGCAGTGTACACATATCCGTACGATTTCGAAATGACAAATTGAAAGAAGATGTGATACTTGGTTAATAGCTGTGCATGTATCAGTTTTGAAGTGAATGGTCCTCCTGAGTCATGACACATAAAGTGACTGTACAGGTACAGTCAAGTCTATCAGGAGTATGAGGCCACTAGATATCAATTCATGTTCATGAGATGCCAGTGAAAAAAAAGCATACATGTAGCTTCCATTGAAATACCGGTAGCTTCCGTTAACATACACATGTACATGTACATGCAACTTCCATAAAATCCAAATGTCCAGCATGAAACTTAATATTAGTACCACGTACAGCATTACCGGCATCATACCTAAGTCACTGAAAGAAACTACATGTAAACCCATATTTTTGGTGTGAAACAGATGGTTAAAACATGCCTATATAACATGCAGTTAATATATGACCATGGACCACACATTAGTCTCGAAAGCACATGCCTTAATTAGTTCCTGCACTGGGTACACATGTATGTACTAGAATTACGGTTGAACGTTAAATCTCTAATGATGGCTGTGATGTTTGCACTAAGAAATAATAATTACGGAACGAAAACTACATTTTCACGTAGGTAATGCAAGGTCAGTCTTTTATTTTGTGCACTATGGGAAATCGACACTCACAAACATAGTTTCCCCTATCTACACGGATCTATGTGTAATGAGAGGTAGTCCATCTCAGACCAGTAACTTGACTGGGTTGAATTTCTGTTCACATTGGGGGGATGCATATTTTTTTCAAGGGGATAGGCCTTCTTAACATATTTTTTTATACGTCTGTACACATTCCAAACTTGCAAATCAGGTGATCAGGAACGTAACGCGGGCACATACATGTAAACTTTGGGAATTCTATAGGCTCCTTATAGGCCCAGCCCCCATAGTTGCGGCAATGTCTGACATTAAAAGTTAAGAAGAAAAAAAAAAGAAAATAAACTTCAGATATCCCAGGCATAACAGAATTTTGGCAAAAAATGTTTAAGGCCACAGAATACAAAACTGATTGAGGGCCTGCATGGAGTGCCCTAACAGAGGACATATTTTGGTTTTTTTTAGATTTAGATGACAATGAAGTATGGTGTCTACTCAAGCATATCACACAGGATCAAAGATCTGTCCTCTGTGAGGGCGCTGCACGCAGGCTCTCTGTAGGAATTCGAATAGCAGAAATGTTGGACGAAATGGGTTGAGATAAATGTATCATGGATGAGACCTATACAAAATTAACGTGAAAAAAACCCTCATTTTAGGCCTACTTGAGGCACATGCTTAGCCTCTGTCCACATGCATGATCGGTAACGTTTACATTTAATGTGGGCAATCAAATTTTGCCAAAATTTTTGCGCCACACCATCCTCCTCTCATCATCAGCACTCCTACCCCTCAGGGAAATACCCTCCACCATGTCCGCCATGCCTGCACCGAGTTAATCATGTTACTGTTGTTTGTCCTGCTGACATGGCTGAATGAATCAGACAAACACGATTCGGTATAGGCATGGAGAATTATTTCTCCATGGTATAGGTAACCATGGGGGTAGAATCACTTTCTACCTCCAAGCTGTAACGTTCAGTGAACGTGTTGCCCTCATAAAACGGGCCGAAATTACAACAGCAATTATTTTTGCCTAACTCTCCTAGAACAGTGTTGGCATAGTTAGACCTAGAGCTTGAAGTAGGCCTAGGCTACAATCATTAGTCAGACTATTACTATTATTTATTAAGAAGAGGTAGGTCTAACCAAAATACGTGGCAAAACAACATTAGCCTACCATTACTGAAACACGACGAACGCTGAAAAAGCTACTTACGTGAATACTTTGACACTGCACGTCGTTCTACGTCGAGAAACCGCCGTCTCGAAAGATAATCTTTGTCATAATTCAGCACGCCATCCATATCCAGCCCGTACTTTCAGTGACATGACACGCTCAATAAAATTCGGGATTCAATTGTTGACTCATGGAAGTTCCTTACTTTTCCACGGGAACTTCCATGACAGCCGCCATGTTTTATCATGGAAGTGCTCACACGCGCATGTTGCCGCGCCGGTCTGATCTTGTTTACGCAATTAACAGCACGCCCACGCGCAAGGAAATTCCATGCGGGGAAACTTGATTGGACAATATCAGCGCGACGGTCCCATCGCCGAGGCGTCACTTCTGGTGATACTAACATTAAAATTATGGGTACCCAACCAAATCTGCCGGATACCAGGGAAAATGATAACAGTCAGAAGTATGGTCGCCAGCTGTCACGCGGTAAGAGCGTGATCACTCTCTGGCCTGGCATAGTGCCAGTCTGTGCTGGCGACGATAACAAAGCCTGTCGGCGTCGGGCATAAATAGACGTCACGCACGAATGGCTAACTATTTACTGCACAAAAAAGGTTCGTGATTACCAAACGCAAAAGGCGCTGCGGTGACCGCCAATTTTGCGTAGTGTGTAGTAGGCCTACTGTGGTGCTATCCTGCATAGGCCCTAATCCTTATAGTATTTGTAATTTAAAAAATTATTCAGTCATCCCTACATTCTCCGCGTGGCTCATGATTCCCGTCTGCTTTAGGAACCGACTCAGGTACACAGTTAAGACAAGTGACAGATTTAGTGTGTTTTTGTAACACTGCAAGGCCTCCTCCCAAGCCTTGATAGGCCTATTTGAAAGCAGTTCCCTGTAGTACACACGTATGTTGGATTTTACATTTATGCGTAGGCTACTTTTCCTTCATCAATAAAGTATCCAGCATTAATTCGTGTGTAAACGGCTGGAGTCTTAAACCTGCATGCAGGCAATAAATTCAGCAGCCCGGGGCGGGGATGACTCACCGCATTGCTCAAACGTCCGTCAAAACACACTCGTTCGCGGTGCACCTACCTCTCACTCCAAGGAATTGGACTCGGTCCAAGTCTGAGTACTATAAGTACATGTACAGTATTGTACTTTTTTTTTTCATTTATATTTACGTCTGGAGCGCCGGGTGTACGCACGGGATATGTACACAGGTACTCAGTTATTTACTGATTATCCTCAGGTCATTATGAATGAGGGATCGGGAACGACAATAGGGCCAGTGTGCAGACAGTCACGTTGTCTCCCAAAGAAAGTCCAGTCAATAAAAAAGTATGTCTCCAAAAGCAAGTCCAGTCAATAAAAAACATGTCCTATCAATGAAGTATAGTCTTCATATCAGACACCAACAGTCCCAACTTAAAGAGTAGCTGCAATAATCGTTTTTGTTAACACAAGCCTTCCAAATGCACCTTTATGTGTCAGTTTCAACTTTTGTTTCAGTATTTCTAAGAGGATTAGGCCTCTGCCACTTTGGTTTTTACGCTGAGTATTTTCACATTCGTGATCAAAACTGTGACGTCATCCCGGAAAAAAAGCCTCAATGTTTTCTATCTTTAGCTGATTCATTGTTGATTTATGTGCATAGCAATACGCAAGCACCAATCTTTTTCTCACGGAAGTTTTTAGTAATTGAATCCTGGGTCACAATTTATCATTTAAAACTTAGTGCACTGAACGGTCACGTCTTCCCTGCATAAGATGCCCTCAGCTGTCCAGGAAAGTATGGATAATTTTGAGTGTTTAAAAAAAGTGCCTTTTTAAAAGTGTTAAACCGAATAGATGTGTAAAAGAGTATTCAAACATTGAAGAAGAGTTCAGAGTTGCAGAAAAACTTGTGTCTAAGAAAATTTCATTGCAGCTACACATAAAGTTAAGCGCAAGAGGACGCGATGAACGAACGCATAGGTCGATCCAGCTGTAACCCCAGCCTGCAGGATAAATCATCAGTTTGTTTTATATTGAGTATTAACGAGTGAAAAAGCTGAGTAAAACTGTAGATAGCAGAGGTTACTGGTAGGCAATGATAAGCCGTTTCGCTTCATGAACCAAAAAAGCATGGAGCTCCATGACAAAGAAAATACATGCAGTTGTACAAACATTGTGTAATTAGGCTAGTACATGGACAACTTTACTTGGTACGGTACAACTTCACCAAGCTGAAATGCCAATCAATTTTAGCACTATAAGAGAATCAAGGTGAATCATCTACCGTTCGATGGACCATAATTAATAGTAGGTGCATAAATCTGAATGATGCCGGAGTGTATAGGCTCAACTTTGTTGAATTTCCATCAACTCTCCAATGCGACGGAATTTACAAAACATTTATAAAGATCGTACTCTCAGAGTACTCTCTAAGTAGGCCCTATCTACAATGTCGGCACGCACCACAGGCTCGGTATAGAAGGAAATGGACCCACTCGAGCATTCTTCATCTACGGTCTACACGGATCTGTCCGCTAAGTCCATCGTCGATCTTGCTTAGACATACTCTACATGTACACGTACGTCACGGACCCTCTACTGTTTACATGCACACGCGTGCTCAGTGAGAAGAACCAGCGCGTGAACCAACGTGCGCGCTCGCCTTTCGTTTGTACGGCATTTACTGGTTGTATTTGACGTCACACTTCGGGACTCTATCCGGTTCGTAAGTGAATACATCACAAAGGCAGACGCGCCACGATTTGTAGGCTCTCATTGGACGATCGCTGAAGTTGCGCGTCAACCTCCGGTACCATGGTTCCATGTAAACGGCGATCAATGTATGTAACTCTATGTGTAGTGCACGTGTTCAGTGGACGTGGTTTAAACTGAAGTGACGTCACACTTAGGAACCGCTATGCGCGTTGCACGCATTCCAATAACGCTGGGAGCTAGATAAAAGCAGTTCGTGGAGAGATAGTTTGAATACACGTACCTTTTATATATGTATTTAGATCAAAGGCGAAGCCGAGGGAACTAGAATACTGCACGGATCCCTATGCTCCATGGATCACTACGTTACTTACAAACATTTCCCGCAGATTCTGCTTAATTGAAGCCAGAACTGATTAATTTGAAAGGTACGTTTAATTGAATTTGAAATTAGAATTAGACACGACGTTGCGTTGGCCGTCACGTTCTGCACCATGTAGAATACTGTGCATACGTGTATGGGCATACGGAGAATATTATGACACATACAATTAAATTCATCAATGGCACAGAACAAAGCCTGGAAGTGAAAAGGTCTCCGCGAGCATCCGGACCCTCGAGTGGCCCGCCTACTGACTGTAAGCGGAGCTGCCCTATCATGTTTTACATTTTTTTGAAGAATTTTTGAAGAAGAAACTACACCAGGAAACACAATGTCGGTCATTTAATTCGGTTGTCGTACCACGATTATGACCTATCTCAGTTTCTGACATTTCGAAATAAACACGTTAAAAATGCGAGAAAATCAGTGACTTATAAAGATGGGTCACTTCGTGGAACGAAACATTTCGATTTCTCTGTGGCTGACAGTGTCCTCTGTCGTTTGCGCTTGCGCGTGTGGACTTTTCCCGTTGATCTATTCGTGTATAATCCTTCACTTGCTTTTGTTTATAGTTTTCGATTAAAAGGGGTCTTAAAGAGTAAAACTTTGCAAAAGCTGAAAGAAATTAGAAGGGGACTTCCCATCAGGAAAGTCATGAACTCATATTTTCTAGTTTTGTTATTTTTCAAAATGTACCTTCTCATTAGACAAACTTACCAAGGGTCAATTTTCTGAAGATACGTTGAACGCCTCCATTAAAAAGTTTTACAATAATATTGGGCCTATCAATGACATATTTCAACGAAATCTACTGTTTTCCAATAATAATGCTTGAAACGAGAAAACTGCACGGGGTCAATGTATGATTTGTTGTACTATACAATGTAGATTTTGTTGGTGAAGGTAGCCCATCACAAAAGGCCTTATTAAGAGAAACTCATGGAGAGGAAAAGTAAGTTTAACAAATGACTTTTTAAAAAGGTAAGAATGTTTGACTTGGATGACCATATCAGTTATTATATGTCTTAGGTTTAATTTCAAACCATACATGTGTAGGTAAATTAAACAGTGCAAGAAGAAATAGTATCAGAGTTGTCTCTTAATCATTTTAAAGCACGCCGTGACTTTTAAATGACACTTTAGTAAAGGAAGTAGACCAAATATCAAAGTTGTTTCATATTTGATTTAAGGGACATCGGTGACTTTTAATGACATTAGTGAAGGATATAGATCAAATATGAACCCAGTAACAGTAGCTCCTCATTCAATGATGTAGAGTGCAAGTACTGCTAAGCATAAAAAAATCCGAGGAGAAATGCAGAGAAATAAACAGTGGTGCTTTGGGTAACAATAAAATGTTACACTTCCTTTAAATGGATCTTGGCTCGCGTGAAGAGAGTTTTACAAATTCACTGCTTTTAAGTCGCATCGTTTCTCCTTAAATCCTGAGGCAAAATACTGGAGTTGGGTCGATGCATTTAGTTCAGTAATAAATAGTTTAAAGTCCAATTTAGGAATTGACATGAACAGTTTCGTAAGATTTTTTACATAAAATATAGTGGACGACAGATTCAAGCAGAGTGTCTTCAAGACTTGTCATTGTTTTTGAAGTATGTAACAAATATTTTTAAGGGTTTTGCATGTTTTGCAATATTAACCATAAACATGGCAACTGAATATAACTTGTTGCAGTTCATTGCATTTAGCTTCTTTTTAACTGTGTAGATCTTAAAATTTTATCTGGCCTGAAACCAAATTATCGAATCCTACAAACGTGAAGATTAGATTGTAAATGGCCCCCCTTATTCTTCAGCTTAGTTGGTTCCCGGCTGCTAGGTATGTCTATTTTTACGATCATTTAAGGGTACCAGGTTAAGCCTTTAGCGAATTAACTTTGACTCAAATCTGGTACACTGAGTTCTTTAAATTCACGTGAACATAACAACTTGAATTCTCCTTACTAAAACACAGCTGCTTCACTCGTGATTCGGGGCAAGTTTTTGCTTAGTTATATAAGAGACGCCTTGCAACAATACACCCTTCTCAGTGGATAAGAGTCAGGGCACAAAGGAACCAATCCATTCCAGAGATGGCGGTCGTNGGGGGTTCTCTCCGTCTCATACCTTGCTGCATATGGGCAGTCGCTATGCCCCGAATCACGAGGTATAGCAACAGTGTCTTTAGTCTTGGGTATTCAAATCGTAATGTTTAAGTGCAGACAGATTACTCAGTGCACCAGATTTTATTCAAATTTAACTCGCAAATGGCTTCATCTTAACGTTGCTGTAATATACCAGGTAAGATATGGGACGGAGGGGTACCCCCTTACCTGTCCAATCCCTATACACGCTCTAAACTGTTACCTAACACGCCCCCCAGAAGTTTGTAAAGAATTCCTGAGATTCCGATCAAACAATGACCAACACAAGGCGGGGGGGGGGGTTCCTCCGTCCCATATCTTGCTTCAAACGGGCTGTGAAGCTGTGTATATTTGTAACGTAGGTAAAGCCGCCTTTGCGAAGGCTCATGTTTTTGTGAATAAAGGAGAAACGTGGGCCTACACAATGAAGCAAACTATGGGACAAGAGAACCCCCCCCCGCCTTTGTGTTAGTTATTGTTATACTGGTACTCAGGAATTCTTTTCCAGACATCGGGGGGGGGATGTGTTAAGTAGCAATAGGTTGGAGTGTGTATTGAGACTGGACTTGTTGGGGGTACCCTCTGTCCCATTT